TGTTTTGCTGAGTCTTTGTACAAATACATACCAACTGGTTTGTCCTGACGCGGAAGCTGGATTCATTGCACCAGGCGGTGTATTGCATCCTTCTACAAAAGCACACTCTATCCATGAGAATGGCATCCAACTAAGTAAACGATTTGCATCCAATACTGCTCTTTTCAGATATACATTCAAAGCTGGATTTTTCAAAAGATTACGTCGAACCTCCGGTTGTGCCGAAGGACGATTTGATTTACCTGCAGAAGGAACTTGAAGAGCATCTAAACAAATCGGAGGACACACCCTTCACCAGTGAGGGGAATCAAATAATCCTCGACGATCGTAATGGGGAAGGAGTTGCCAAGGCACCTGAAGGTTTCTCTCAAAGCACTTCTGGTGAGCAGAATTACTCGCCTACACCATCAATAGAGGGAGACTTCCTTCCTCCAGCGCCTACAGTAAAATCAGAATTGCCACCTCAAGGTGCCCTTCAGGAGGATGCTGAGTTTGGGGAGCACTTTTATCCTGATACCGCACTTCACGAGGACTTCGATGTGCCTGAATTTGATTCCAATCATTTCCATGAAGCTGAAGCAGAGGTTGATGAAGAAAATGATGAGCATTTTAACAATCAGGAACCTTTCAATGTTCAAAAACATTACGAGGCATCAGAACAGTTTGACGAGCAGGAATACTTTGATGATCATGAACATTTCGAGGGCCAGGAGCTCCACGAGCAACCAGAACACTCAAACATCCAAGACCATTTTGAGGATCAGGAGCAGCATGAGGGACTAGCACACTTTGAAAATCAGCAATTTTTAGAGAATCAAGAGCATTTCGAAAATATGGAAATGGACGGGAGTCAAGAGCGACTTGAGAATCATTACCACTGGGAGAACCAAGACCATTACAACAGTCAAGAGTACAATGAGGAGGAGAGGGAACCGGAGGTGCAGTCCGAGCTACCACCCCAAAACTCACCTACACCCGAGCTTCTTCACGCAAGTGAACAGGTAGAGCATACCGATCATCTCCTAGAGAATCCAGAGGGCTTTATCGAGCCTCCGACAAACATTGATCTTCTGGATGCAGCACACATGGACCTTGTCGGTGGAGTCGATCAATTCGCCGTAGAAAAACAGGAGTCGACACCATTCCATTCTGCTGCAGGCATTGGAGCCGGAGAGGCAGTAATAAACGACTTCGAACAAGCGGCTTCCTTAGCTTTGAACGAACACCCGGTGGAATCCAACAGGCACATGGCAGACGCTCTGGGCGTTGTTGTCACTGAACAACCCGAAGCACCACAATTGCCACCTATTATACAGACCGAAGAGTTGCTTCCGCAGGAGGCAAAACCGTCCTTCCATGACATCAAAACAAATTTGGAAAAGCGAAAGTACGTGCACTAATATGCTAGGAACCTGTGCTTTATAATC